TCCTCAGGTCGCGTGACCATTGCTCCGCCTCCATTCATATTGTCTGCTTGTGTCGCCCTAGTCCGTACGTCTTGTTCTGCTCAGCACATTCGTGGTGGATTGTACCTGATTTCTCGTAGGCCTACTTGTACAAGTACTTGGGCCAAATTTGCAACTGAATGGCAAACGGCCGTCGAGAACGACTACTTGTATTCTTCCTCAGCTGGTCTGAGAGCTAAGTTGAAGCTAAAGTCCACGTTCGTTGACACTCTGCTAATAAGTCGGGACCTCAGATTGTGCAGTTTCTTGACCTATAGGACCGAGACTTAAAGGTGATTTCTTATGCAAAAGCCAAGACGAAAAGCTACTTCTAGCTAGCTTCTTGTTTGACCTTAATATTCGACCGTGTCTTAGATCCTACGGTACGATGATGCCTAGAGAATTAGAGATCAAGTTGAAGGATTATTGTTGCTTTTCCGAATCGCATTAACTTATCATTTGAAGGAATGCAACAAGAGGTATAAACCTGGCCCATTAGGCTTGCACAACAATATTAGCAAGGGAAAGAAAGGAAAAGCAAGCCAAGCCATCATACCTGATGCCTGGCTTCCAGAATTTCAGGTGTCGGCCGAGGCCCATGTTGCAGACATGTGAATTGTGCGAGACTGCTTCCATAAAGTCCAGCTAGTCTTCAACCCATATGCCCTCATTTGCCTGCGTATCCTAGCAGTAGGGATCCATTAGGGCATTTAGTGACTTCCCAATATGCTAATAAAAATTCTTTTTAGACGTGGATTATACATATTAAGAGGAGGTACGTTCAGGAGAAATTTCTGATAAAAACATGGCAATTATCCATGCCTCGGTCCCAAGCTGGACAGGGCGAGAGCTATCCGAAGGAGCCTCTTGCTTCGACCATCTACAAAGTTTGAACGACCCCCCCGTATATGGGGCGTTTAGCCTACCCTTAGCAGTCAAGCCAGCTATTTGAGGAAGTGCACCAATAGGCCTACAAGAATTGACGAGCAATCCACTATGACCACGCTGTGCTGGCGCAGTGCAACACGTGCGGGCTAAGGCGAGAACAAGCAGACGATGAATATGGGGGCGGAGCTGTGATCACGTGACCTGAGCAGAAGCCTCTGAAGTATCCCTTCCCCTTGAACCCATCTCCTAGACTCCCAAGTGGAAATATGGAAAACTAGCTGAAGTACCCGGCGTTGCTCGAGGAAATTCAATAAGTCAATATTTCATGCATGACAAATTGGGGAACATTAGCCTTATGGTTTCCTATATGTTACCGATCTTGGGTGTCGCAAAGTGCGCTCGGACCCCTTTCCCTTCTTTTAACTTTTTTTTTTAACGCTTTGAATAATTTATAAATTATTTTTGAGTTATGGGGTGAAAATTTTGGATCGAAACATAGCCCTCGATCTTCCCCTAGATGAAAGAGGCGGCCATGCAAAGTTTGGTTGCACTGGTTCCTGCGGGGTCCGAATGTATGGACAGACAGACAAACTTTCTTTTTCATATATACAGATATGCTCATGGTGTCATGTAGTCTTCGGGTAAAGGTAAACCGATCAAACTTGGAAATATTTTTTCTTAATTCCGCTGTATTAGGGGTATTACTAATGAGATATATTTTTTGTTTAGCATGAATTCTATAGAGTTCTAGTTCCTCATCTGGATCTGATGTCCTTTCCTGGACTCAGACATTTTTAAGTCCTTGTTCAAAAATGAGTAGTCATGGGTGAGGGTGCCAAAATGTCATGGAGTCATTCGCTTCGAAAGATTAAAAAGTTTAAACAATACAGCACAATTAGATAGGCCTCAGTACGCGTATGGCAGTAGGTGTGACGAAGACAAAGGTGTGTGAAAAGGGGTTCCGTCAATTCTCCGACGGTCAATTTCCCGAATGGTCATTTCTCCGACAGGACAATTCCAAGAACGGTCAGTCCCCCGTTTGTAAATTCCTTATTGATGAATTCTACGATGATGGCACAAAGGTATTTGTTTCCTCGAGTCTCTCATATCATAAATTGAGGAGTGAGGGGATGCCCAACCGAGCCGGAACCGATGCGAGGGTACTAGGCAAACGGAATGAAAGGGAAAGTCGCTAATATGCTCTCATCCTGGAGGGGAGGAAATCATTTATTTGCCCCCCCCCCCACCTAAGGAAACTCGTTTCGCCAAGGGGGTTGACCAAAACCGGCCCCTGGACATGAAGGGGACTGGGTGGTATTTAAGTTTCGGCTATTATTCCTGATACAGAAATAGCGTCATTTGAGCAGCAACACTCAGATTAGGACGTCACTGGTATCTGAATTTTAGAAAACCCATTAAGAAGGGAATTTATTTACGTAAGAAACCGTGGGGTAGGTTGCTTTCCATCCAAGACCATAAGTTCGCTGATGTGTAACATCGGGGAACTGTCCTGTCGGGGAGTTTGCCATTCGGGAAATTGACCGGACACCGTGGAATGGCTTGTGCAAGAGCTCTCAAAATGTAGTTTTACCTAAACCGACTGAGTGTTTTTCCATGTTTAAGGTATTGGGTTGATCGGAAAGTTCTGGCCGTTTCGAGAATTTTCCAGAAAAAAAATTTCTGGAACTTTCTCGAACCTTCCACAGTAGCAGTATGTAAAGGGTGTGAGGGCGTGATTACGCAGCAGTTGCTTAGTCGTTCAAAGCCTATAACCATGACTTCCAAAATCGACTTTAACAAGACCGCCCAACGTCAGCGCCTTCTTTAAGACTTCCAATCTGGCATCACAGCAGCTGAATCGAGTCGCCGCATCTGCGCCGCGTTTGGCCAAGGTGCAGTTTATGAAAGGACAGCGCGACGATGGTTCGATCGTTTTCGGTCGGGAAATTACAGCCTCGAGGATGTACCTAAAGGTCTAAAGGAGATCTAGAGGGGGGTTTAAACCTTTAGCGGCGCTAAAGGAGGTTTAAAGCTCCATTAGGCCAAAGTCAGTTTCATCCAATCCACCCTATAACCTAAGTACGCGAAAGTCGACCCGTGCACGAATTTGGACGGAATTCCGGTTCACTTCGCGGACCTCGCCATTATAATGACATGCTGCCCTGTGTCTTCGTCTTCGAATCCATGTTTTAAGCGGAGCTTAAAATGTGTCTCACAGAGAATGCATCGTTGTTAATCCTTACAGTCAACCGGAAACTATCTCCTTAAGTTACATCGTTCTTACTGCAAGTGAGGCAGGCTGAGATCAAGGTTACAAATGTCCCTGGTATATATTATGTTGTGGTACTTACTGGTGGCTCTAAGCGTCGATGGTCGTAAATATAGTGTTCTAAGGTAACTGAAGAGTACGCTGTAAGAAATGGTTACATCATTATGTTCTTGGGATTCGATATTTTAGAGGGTCCGTTTTCTGGGCCGAATCGCGGTGAGGGTCTCTGAAAGTCGATCCCTAGTCGTAGGCATAGGCAAGTGAAGCACACGCCTAAGGCCGGGAATTCTGCATTCATATGTACAACGGCACGTCTCTGGTGGTACCAACCGTACATCTATCTTTCCATGGTCAGCCTAAGATCTATATCAAAGGCCATGGATATTCTAATCAAGTTTGACTGTCAAGCAATATCCAGCTAGTCCCCTCTTTGAACCTTCCTCCTGGAGGTACCTCTCAGGCAATTATGCTGGGAAAATACAGCCTGTCCAAAATCGGTCTTCCTGGCTCTGCAAGCCAACACGGCGAGCGGCGTGCGCGTATAGAGGCTTGCAAAGGCCTTCGCTGGGTGGTGGATGCTTAGTGAGGCTAGGAAGCACTATCACAGGCCCAACTTTGAGGAACAGCAGGGTCGGCTTTCGCGCCATTGGTTCGATTAATGCGTCCAGATATATTATTGCATTTCAATGCTTCTCGCGATATCATTACTAATGATGCAAAGGCTTTCAAGCCGATACTGTAGATCACAATCCAACTTTTTACAGATAAACACACTCACAACCCTGCGTGAAGCATTCGTTCATTATGGAGCCAGCCTCTCTTGTGCTGCACTTCATTGTACAAAGGAAACGGGCTCGACTTTCGCGTATTTACTACATCTATAATTCTATCAATTTTCTTCAGCTGAATATGCGGTCGGTGATACACTAGGCCTAAGTCCACCACTCGGGTCTCTAATGCCGAACCATGAAAGGTGTCGAGTCCAAGGGCCAGTTGCACTTGCCTCAGTTAAGTCAGACTTTCGCGCAGTCTGACTTAACAGGCAGTGCAACTGGCCCCAGGTTCGGCACACAGCTGTGCAATCTGCAATGGTCCCGTCGAGTTTTCAAGGGAGTCATGAATGTGGAACTCATACCTGGCGCATGCGCAAAGGAAGCACATTCTGATTGGCCGGTGACGGTCTGTCGCTAGACGCACGTGATAGGGGTGGGTGCCGGCGTGGAGCCTTTGGCAATTTGGCCTCCCCCTTTCCATGTGCCTGCTATCAACTCCCACGTGCGACGCCAGCCCTTAAGACGGGGGCCACGCCTGAAGGAGTGTAGCGCCTCGCGCCATAGGGGAGGCCCATCCATTATACATTCTCTATGGAACAGACGCAGACCATTACACTGTTTCCGGATTGAATTCGTACCCCTATACACTGTTTTCGGATTGAATTGGTACCCCCCTACTGTGGAGAACAGAGAAAACACAAGCTTTCCAGACGATCCTCAAGATGTCAAGCCTGATGCTCCACATGGTTGTTGGATGGTTCTATTAATACTTCACCTTCCACAAGGTGTCCTGCCTATACTTGATGGAAGCGCTTCTAGGGGGGGGGGTACCAATTCAATCCGAAAACAGTGTAGGAGCGCTTCCTTCGATTGCAGGTAGTGACATCTTTCACATGGGTGGTTTTTATCTATTACCTACTGAGGCAGAACCTCTGGAAATGTGTGTTTTCTCCTGTCTCCACTATAGGGGGATGGTACGAATTCAATCCAGAAGCAGTGCATGATAAGGTTCCTTTCCTCCAAGATCCTGGAGTCTAAAACCCTAAGGATGAATGAAATGGCTATTTGGAAAGGCCTTCTAAATGGAAGGGGAGGCACTTCTTTGTTCAAAGAGTTCACAAGGCAATCTCAAAATAAAATGGGAAGAAGGTCAAAATCTAAGACAGTTCTAGGTATGTTCTTAAGGCACTGAACATCACAATGACAGTGGCTCATTGACTTTTTTTGTGTTGCCTATGTACTGAATGATGATTCAAGGAACTTTTATCAGTTTTTCACAAGAGCACTTTACTTCCTTACAATCTACTATGCAACTGCATTTTTATGAATAATCATTGAATACAATCCAATGGAAAAAAAAAACAAAAAAAAAACAATAGGCCTAACAAGAAGAAAGCACCTGGATATACTGGAATGAACCTATTCCTGCTTGATAGCAAGTTTCTTCTTCAAGGACTCTGGCATTTCTGGTGGTGGAGGACGTGGTAGTCGAAGATATACTTTGACTCCATCATAGATGAACCACTGAGCAGCAGTCAGTGTACCAATCATGATGATTCTTGGCAAGAGACCCTTCCACAGACCTACAATTAACCAAAAGCAATGGTCAGAAAATGCTGTGGATGATAAGTGCTTTCCAGAATCTCAAAAGATGTCTCAATTATAATACCTCTCATGCCAAGCTTCTTGGCAACATCAACAGCTGTAGATCCCTTATCCTGGTTCAGTTTTGACACGATGGTATCAGCAGGATGGGAAACAATTGCACAGAATACACCAGCAATGTAACCGGCTGCAAATGTGACAATAAGCTGCTCTCCCTTTGAGCATTCATCTCGTTTCTTGGGTACAACATACTTGTATAGGGCTTCCAGTGTCCTCTCAAAGCAGGCAAACTGTAAATAAGAATCATGCCTCAAAGACCTTCACTTCATGAAATGTTTGTTATCTATCAATCATTATATGTTGTGCTAACCTAGGCTGCCATTAAGCAAATAGCAAATGCTATACTTTTTTGTTCCCAAAAAATTTAGGAAAAGTTACAGTCCTACTGTGTTGGGGAAAACCAGAACCTGGAAGTGCTGAAAGTTTAATCTCATGTAGCTTGTGTGTGGTGTCTGAAAGGCCTTGAGAGCAGGACCAACACCAGCAAAATTAGGTTTTATGGACATCCCACCTAATAACACACAATAGCAAGATCTAGCCCATAAAAGATACCAGGTGCTGGATTCATTAGACATCCCTGGGAATGGTTTTATAAAAATTTTTTACTGCAGAACTGTCTGGGGAATTTTTACATAACTATTTTAGTAGTAAAAAAATTTTGATGGGAAATTCAAGGAAACCCATTTCTTGCATAAAGCACTAGTGCAATATTGTAAAACTTTGAGAGTACTTAGTGGGGGTCTTTTGATGAATTGACACCATCCATAGAGAAAAGTTACTGAGCATTCTACCTGCTACATTGATGAAACCAAATACTTCATGGTGGTTTAATCATGGGGAGAATAGCAAAAAAGTAAAGCAAGGGTGTTAAACTTATTCCAATACCTTTTCCCACATGATATGCTTTAGAAGTAGCAGAAACATTATGGCCTGAATACCAAATTTATTATTCCTGAATACCAAATATGTGGCAAGTGCCACCAATTTCTAATGTAATCATGTGGATTTCTGATTGATCGGTTTACACAGCCTTTATGGCATGAACATTGCAAAGGTACAAACACAATTTAAAGAAAATGAAAAAATCATGCCACACATGGTTAGCAAAAAAAAAAATTAACCCAAATAAATAAACATCCACCCTTATACTCTATGATTAAAGATATTACCATACCAAAAAAAGGAAAAAAGCATACTTGAAACTCAGATTGGAAAAAGAAACAATGAACATATCTTGATTTCCAGCATTATTTCCAGGCTTGTCATAATACCTTTTCTCTCTCAAGGTTCAAGGTTTGCATATGGAATCAAAAGGCAGATTTGGCAACAGCATCTTGAATAAAGGTTGAATGTTCTCTCCTATCTTAAACACCTTCCTTTAAAGCCTATTGCACATACTTTCAAAGGGATACACCAGTGCTTTCCATTTCCATTCATTATGAAAAAGCTTCTTTGAACTCTGATAAATCCAAACCTTTTATTTCAAAACAAGCAAAACAATGTTGTGAAAAATTTCCAGAAATATGGGCCTCTTGCCTCCAAGAGTGACAAGGAATATTAAAATGGTTCTGGCAGCCAAATGTTACTTAAAAATCAAAAAGACCCAAAAGAAACCAAGGTATAGGCAACTATTAACAATACAATCTCTGCATAGTTCCAGCTGTGTATTCCTGTTTTAAAAATAAATTGAGAATTTGAGAATGAAATCTGTGAGAATCACAAAAGTTCCGAATTTCTGTCTAGTGGAGACTTCAAAGATGTGGTTCTCTTCAGCCAGTATGCAAAGGTGATTATTTTACCTTTTTTTCAGTGGGTATCAACTTGGGTTGATCCCAAGTCAATGAATTTTGATGCTGCTTGCTGCACGTTTTCATAAGAACTCACCTTCATCATGGTATATGGGATTTGCCTGGCCCAGAGAGGTGTAATCCCTTTGTAGAATCCCCACCAACCTTCCTCCTTCATGATGATTGGGACAGTGAGGCGAAGTTGATTTGTCCAGCCTGGCTGTGTCTGGATTCGAACCTGTATTCACAGCACACAATTATTGAGCTTTGCAATGGACTTGGGAAAATGTTGACCTAAACTTCATTCTTATAGATACCCATCACAACTGCCACATATAAATTGTTCCAAAAGTGATAAGTTGCATGTCAGGATAAGTGCCTGAACCAAAATTCATGGGAGAATGAAGCACCAGTACAGGTCTTTTTTTTTTGTTATAAGGAGACAAAAAGAAATGGTGCAATAAGACAAAGTAATACACCATGAAAGTAAGCCAAATTTTCAAAGTTATGGATAAAATCAATTGGTTTTTCAAATTCCAACTTTTCTACTCTTGAGTCAGTGCATCAGTTGCTCAGAGCAAAGATCATGTTAAGTTTTCTAATCAAATATGATAAAATATGCAACATTAACCAAGCCATAATGTATAGCAGTCAATGATGGCATGTATAGGTGGGATAGGTGAGCTAGGCCAGAGAGCATCCATACAGTAAGATGCAAAAAAAAAGTGGCAACCATTTCCAACAAGTAACTCTGCATGGGCACCATCTTTGACCAGCTGCTGGTTCCTCACTTCAATTTCGTAGTTGGTTTCTTATGTAGTTTTTAACCCTCAGTGATAAAGTATAATTTCACAATCGGGTTTGTGAACTCCAATGGCTCCTCAGCAACATTTCAGGAGGTCTACGAGATCATGGCCAAAGAAAAAAAATTAAAAAAACTGGAAGTAAAAATGGGATTTAAAAATATGGTGCATGTCTACAGAGAGATTACAACAGGATCAACTGGAAATTAAACCAATGACATTCAGCACTGCTACTAGGCCCTTTGGCCAGCACCCTTTACCCACCTAAGTGTGGAAACACTTATTCACATCTCCCTGTTGCAATCATGTGCTATTTTTCATAAAAAAGAATCCTTCTATCACCATAGTACTCAGATCGTTTTTAGTTCAAGTCTAACTGCAGGTGTAACACATATATTCCTTTACAGTTAAATTCTGGCTTTTAGGGACAGCATGGCTGGGCATAATTTGATTGAAACAAAAAATCATCATTACATCAGCTGAAAACCATTGGAAGCAAATCAACACAAGTTTTCAACCAACATATAAGAAATATGGGACAATGGCAGCCATGTCATTAGGGAAATTCAGGGCTTAATACTATCCATTCCCAGTGGGCAATGTGTCAGTGTTTTGTAGCAATTCATTCATTCCCAGGATCTTTTGAAGCTCTTTTAAAAGATCATGCATGAAGCTTTCCTAGTAGCTTTGAGCTTTTCTAATGGGCAGAGGTGAGAGAGCATGGCATGTAAAAACAACCATATAGTGTTGTGTAAATTCAGAAACTGCTCAAATTATTAGTGTAGCCATCTGCTCAGTATTTATAGTCAACATCCAGCAATAGTCCATTCTCTTTTGTATTGGGTGAAGGCTGAAACAGATGTTGAATGCTTCAGGGAACATGGAAAGCCCCAGGGAGAACTGCCTAAATGGCCTAAGAACCCAGGTCCAAAATTGGTATAGAGAGACTGCCCAAGCTTGCAGTCATGTCATCAAGCATATTTTAGTGGGGGCTGATCTATTTGCAGCTACCTTCCACTCCTAAATTCTTTTAAGTCTTTTGCTGCTCAGTAAGCCAAGGGATAGTGGCTGAATAGTGGCCAAGGGATAGTGGCTAGGTGCATTGAGAATGTGCTGCAATTGCTACCCTCTCATGCTGTCCTTGTATGGAGGCTATGAAGGCTCCAAGTCATACTATTTACTGTTCTGAGTGCAAATGTGCATATAGTCTAGAAGCCTTTTTAGGAAGAGAAATGGATTGGAACCAGCCTAAAATGAATACCAGCCCAATCAAAACTACAAAGAATTCCAGTTGAAACTTAGTAAATGAACATAGACATACTAAAAGGAGATATACTGAAATCACTGGTGATGCTTGGATGGATATCCACTAACACTCCAATTTTGATGTATCTGAATATTTTATCCTGAATTTGAAAAAAATTGAATTTTCAAAATTTCTGCTATAAAGAATGAATTCAGGTGTTACCATTCAGAAGTGGAAATACTAATTTATCAACCAACAGCAAGGAATAAAAATCCACTAAAACAAGGTGGTCATATTTAGCCTTCCACTCATCTAGCAATCTTAGCTCCATAGCTTCTGATTAAAACTGTCACAATAGCAGTTTTCAAAACATTGATGCATCGACCTGAACTATCAAGTGTATTGATGCATCAGGAGGGGAGGGGGTGTAGGAGGATTCAATCTTTTCTCACCATGATCAGGCAGAGGTTTGACCTCCATTGTTTCTTGCCTCGATTGAGGTGCGGACCTCTATCAGTCTTCCATAATCTCATGCTTGTGGTCAGGGGATGCATGGGGAAGGTAATGAGTAATGAAACCTACCATGCCTCTAACTATCGAAGATGACATCCACTCATCGATGGATGCATAAAGACAGCCCTATTTTTTGCTTCTTGATGAGAATCAGTTGTCAAGCCCATTCATGTAATTCTTTTTCTTCATTCTACACAGTCATCTTTTGACATCAGCACTGGCAGATAGCAAACCTGCCAATGGTGCCATACCAGCAGTTGCCAAAACATCCCTACAGTCCAAGAAGCAACATCCATGTAAAAAATTCCCTTTGGATTCACCTTAAGTAAAGAAGCAAAATACCCCAGGACAAGTTAAAATGGAAAAAAAATTGAGCATGCATATTGAGGAAAAAGACAGGAATATAGAGAGGGGGGATTAACCAAAGTACATTTGGAAATGAAGGGAGTATAATAACAGTCCACTTTTGCAGCATGCACCTGATGAAATCGAGCCAAAGACTAAAACAGAAGAGGGAAAAAAAATCTAGATCTTCCCTCCATCTTCTTACCCACTTCCTGTCTCCGATTCAACATGTTTTTTTGTTTCCCTTCCTGTCTTTCATATAGTCAGTCCCAGCATTTCCAGAATTTGATTGTGATAAGAAATTGCAAGCCCATGTGGGTCACACCCACCTCTTCCTTTCCCTGTACGGACAGACTGTATCGTACTGTACTTGCCTCAATCCATTTCCCCTTTCAAATATTTTGCCAATACATTGCGATGGTTGAAAAAACTATCGATACCTCCACCCATCAATAGATCGATGCATCAACATCACTATTGTGACAGTCCTACTTCTGGTAAAGCAAAAATGGAGCTTTGAGGCAAGTGAAATGCACATAAATCCTCAAAATTCCCTTTGCCACCACAAAACATACAAAGGATGACAGAATCATGCAAACCAGGTAATGAAATAGATTTGAAATGCAGCTATATGATCCTCTGACACCATGGAACTGCCAAAAGAGAACTTTGCAGAACACAAATTTCCTCCAATTAAACAAAGACATGCAATCCCATCTGAAGCATAAATACCTTCCTAGTCAAATGTGAATAACTGCTCTGCTGGATACCAGTGACTTTTCAATGGAAGACTTCAAGTGGCGATGTGATATAAATCATGCTCCCCTTCTTTAAGATTTTGTTTGAAACAAACAGCACTCAGGGATTCATGGAAAAACTTGTTGAATCTATTGGATCAGTTGAATTTATGTCCTAAGCATGTCCATGTCACATCCCAGACCCAGGTCTTCCAACATGACAAAACAATAAAAGAAGATATTCACCTTGCAAGCTTCCATGGGGGCCAGAGCAATATCAGCAAAGAATTCTGCAGATGCTGATGCAGCCAGATACAAGCTTGTTCGCCACAAAAATGCATTCTCCTCCCCAAGCATATTCCCATAAAAAATCTTGAAGACTTCATAGAAGCCAAATTTTCCAAGGCCTTGAAGGGAATATCCAATGAAAGTGGGTGCCCAGCCACGTCCAAGACCTTTAAATCCATCCTCCCGATATGTTATCCTGAAGCCAGTGAAGATGTTCTTGAATTTGTCAGGATTCACCTGAATTCGGCATTTCACCAAGTCAAGTGGAACCACCGCTGTGTGAGTGAGTCCACAGCTAAGAATTCCTCCAAATCCACATAGGGCATAATACTTTGCTGAACCAAACTCGCAGCTGTTACCCTGGACACTATCTGAAATCCAGCAAGCATGAGGTAATAAATTAGTGCTTTAACCAAACACTGGCCTAAGCCTATGAGATCAATCACAAATAAAAGGACTAGGATAGTGCTGCAAGTGACCAATGACATAAGTTGACAGCCACTTGGTCATTATCACTGCTTTCTCAGAATATTGAGGACAGCTCCCATGACAGGCAGCCCAACAAGAAATACATTTAGTTTTGTGAATTCCAGGATAGCTGAAGCAATTGCCACCATTTTCCTGTTTCATAGGCAATATTCTGAATTTTTCTGAAAACTTTGTTTTTAGAAAATCAGCTTCGCAGACTTAGTATTAACATGTTTACTGCAGCCCACTTGAATTTCCTCCATGTGTAGATAGTTGCATGCACCTGATTCAATTGTACCCTAACACTTTCAAAATAAGATCATGCAGAGCAGAAGCTTAGTTTTAAGCGAATGAAATGCTATTCTAACATGCATCCTCCCCTCCTCTCCCATCTGCTGCTGTAAAGGAGGTTTTCCTATTCAACAAGATAGAAATAACATTTATTTTTGTCTTGAGACTATGCTGGAACAGGCCTAGAAGCTGGGCAATATTGAGGCATTCAAGAGATAAGGTGGCTGTAATTTGTTGAATAGATGAGGTGAATAAAATGAGAATGTGCGCATCACCCAATGCCAAGTTACAAATGATGTAAGGTGCTACAAAAAAACCCACCTTTTTCCCTATTAAGAAAAATTTCATCTAAGAACAGAAGTGAAGTGAACAGTGAAAACAGAAGCATTCAGTTATGTATCAATGAAGGAAAAACTCTTTTCCAAGGGTGGTCATTTTATTATGGCAGGGATACATTGTGATATGCATCCAATGCAAATCCTGCCTTTTAAACAAAAGTTGAAATACTGTACAAGAACTTCACTCTTTCTTATGCCACTAATCTGCAATATAATTTGGAATAATGTATCCATTAAGAGTATTTTAAAATACTATACTTTCATATAATATAAACTTAATCAGGCCAGACATTAAACCACAGATTCACCTTTGCTAGAAGCTGCAGCTGCAGAGATGTTACGGTGGGGTGATGGAGACTTCAAGCCATGGGTGTCTGACTCACAATGAGCTACTTGAAGGGGGGAGCAAAAAGGGTTGGCTTTTGCTGTCTCATATAAGGACCTGATCATCCTCAATGCACTGCTTCTATCTAGCCTAAACAATCTGCAAATAATGCCTGTAAAGAAAACAAAGTGAATGTGGCAAGATACCTTTTGGAGAGTACTAAAGTCTAGGAGCTATGCAATCATTATGAACCATATTTAACCCTTCTATATAGAAGAGGTGAAAAACCAAGACTTCCACTGTGAACAAATCCATCTCTGATGTCCATCACAATAGACTGAATCAAAATTGACAGAATTTTAGAGCTGCAAAAGGTAGGTAACAATATCCATCAAGTCTCAGAAACTTCATGGAGTTCACATGCTCAATTGAAGTGGAATGGAGCTTGTGATTCTCTCTCCTTCCTCCAACATGGAGGAAAACTTATACAGACTTGTTAACTGGATCCTTTCTTGCTCTGTCCTTGAAATTCAGACTGTTGACAACACCATGACTTGCTTCTACCATAAAGCAAGAGGGCATGTCCAAATGTGAAACCTTAGAAATTTTTATTTTATGCATTAATATGGGCCATGCATGCTATATTTACCATCTATCCACAGTTAAATACGAGGTATAGCACACAAATTTACATTTTTGCAACTTCCTTTTAACTGCTAACATATATTGGGTCATCCCATAAGTAATGTGTTTTTTTTCCCTAGATTTTTAAATTAAAAATAAAACAACTTTTCAACAACCTTTAAGCAATAATATATTTTCCCTCATTCTCTACAACCTTTTTCCAGCTTTCTGGTAAACTTTTACCCTTGTAAAATTCCCTTGGCTTGGACTCAAAAATCTCCTCCAATACAGTTCTGACATCTATGGTAGCCATCTGCATTGCCTTTTCTATACTTGTACAGCATAATATGCTGAATATGTTCTTTTGTCACTTTCATTTTAAACTCTCTGAAATTCACAGAATAATCTATGTACACTTACCAAAATTTGATATGAAAATGAAGACAAGTTAGTATCAAGTCAGTATTTATTTCAAATGCATACCTACATACTATCATTACCAATTGTTATTGGTTTATTGCAAGCTTCTTGGAAAAACCGCATTACTTATGGGATGACCCAATACATTAACCTCTTTAGATTTGTTTTCATCTCATTGGTATGACTGATGAAATATTTTCATTTTCATGTACTCATTTTACTAATATCTCAACAAAATAGCATCAGCGAACAGGTATATGCTCTCATTATAAGTAATGACTGGCCATTTTTTATTGCTCTGCATGGAATAATTAATGTTACTACTGGTTAATTAAACCAAAAATATCTATAGAATAATTAAGGTTATAACTATTTTATGATTAATCCCACCAACAGCTTTCATTGAAACAGGCACCTACTACACAGGTGATTGATCCATAATTCATTACTAGCTCACTTTTTACTTTACCCTTGTTCAAACTCCAACCAAATACGGGGGTGTAGTCCTATTTTGAAAAAGTACTTGGGCACTAGTATTTGGGAAGGGAGGGGCTTCCAGATAAGCTTATTTCAGTTTATCCGTCATAATTATCAGATATCACAATTGCTTCATACAAGAACTCAAAAGGTAACTCAAGAAAACATTTCATCACAAAATAACAGTTCTTCCAATTACACTCAATATTGTAGCCCCTTATATCTATTTTCTTTTTGTCAGCTTGAAGCTATAACAGGCTAGATTAATGCCATTCTTGGCCAGATATTCAATTTCCCTGTGAAAGGTGGCCTTCATTCTTCAAATGTTTTTGGTCACTGACTATGAACTTTTCCTTTGAAATAACCCCACAAAAGAACTCACACAGGGTTAAGTCAGGGCTTCATGCTGGCTGGTTGATGACTACAAGCTGACCTATCCACAAATCTGGAAACCCTGTACCAATACAGAGTCTAGCTTGAACTCTGAACTACCTAACGGGCAGCTATTTTCAAGTGTTTTCCTAATTAAAGTTGCCTCACTATTTAAAAGCCTATTGTTACTGCATCAAAAGAAGACCAAATTACCAAAAATAAAACATGAAAGGTGACAAAAAAGTCAGTGACTTTTTATATACCCTGTACTTCCCAGGGAATGATATCCATCAAGTCCCAGAAACTTCATAGAGTTCACATGCTCAATATTTTTTACCCAACTGTCATGACATGTTTTAGTGCTAAGGTACTCAAACTTTATGAGCCAAGCTCCATACATGGATGTGACCAACCTTATACAGGCCACACTAAAACATTGAGTGCTAATAAAAATTCCCTTCTTACTGAAAAGTACATTAGTTTTCATGGACTGCATACAAGACCTTTTCAGGCCCATGAGCCACAGTTTCAGTACTAATGTTTTGGTCCATACACATTTGGAATCAAACATTTTGACTAAAATAGTTTTTTCTTTACCCAATTTGTGATAAATCAATCATTCATCTTAAACCAAATGGTTTACTTTCATCAGAGAGCTTCAGTAACTGACTTAGGCAAAGTCATGCAGGAAAGAATAGTATCAAATATATTATTTGGATTTTTGAATTGCCAGGAACAGTGGCGTAACTATGTAATTTGCCGCCCGGGGCGAGTGACTGTTACTGCCGCCCCCATACTCCAGCTCCCCCCTCCCCCCTTGCTAATTGTTATTTTCACATGCACACACGTTTTACTGGAGAATGAGATTTATTAAATATTTCTGTTATTCAGGACTGATTCTCAGCACAAATAATGTAATCAAAATCAATCCTTACAAACAAATGACTGCAATCAAGATTCAGCCCTTCTTGATTTACTGGCTGCAAAATCTTTAATAACTTCGCTGAAATCAATGGAAGAAGCAACTTGATGTTCGATTGACAAGATAGCAAGATTTGTAAGTCTTACTTGAGACATTGTAGATCGCAGGTACAACTTAATCGGCTTCATTTTGCTGGAAGATGACGTTTGCTGCCCTCAGTTCAGAGGGCGGTAAACGAGAAAAAATTGCAAAATCATCAAAATGGGGATTTTGCCAGTGGGCGGCAAAATGAAAAAAAAATTCCGAAATTTTGCTTCTTTGAAATAAAAAATGTTTTGAAACGCTATTTTGCCGCCCTCTGGACTGTGGCGCTCGGGGCGACCGCCCCNCACTGAGCTAGAAAGAGAACTGGAGATGGCGCACAATACGATGGCTTTGGGGCAATTGGAAGCCATCTTAGTTGGGTCCGTGGTGGCTCTTCTCCATTCACTACTATGGGATTTTCATAATTTCCCATCTCAGTTTTCTTGCTGTCGTGATCATGGTGGCAGGCAGTCATGGTACCGGAGGCCTAATAATTCTTGGGGGAGTATCATAGGGCTGATAACGTGATGTCGGAACTCTTCTTTCATGTGGGCGAGTGGGTCATTTCTCGAGTGGGCCTCCAAGTTCCAGGCTTGCCCTTGCTGAGTTTGCTGGGCCTACGAAGGCGATAACGTTACGCCGCCCTTGCATCATCACAGTCGACATAATTTACAGCAAGTCTAAGGCATAAAGTCAAAAGAACTTCGAGTAAACGTTCAAAGGTAAACATAGGCTAAAAGAAACGAAGGGCGACCACGAGGTGCATGGTAGAGGTGTTGGCGGGTATTGGCAGGGCATGCTTCCGTATTCAGAAGGGCTGCTCCAATGTTCCCGCGGTACCTGCTCCCTTCCTCGGCCAATGCGCACCGCAGGCCCGCTTTAGCCTGGACCCAACCAATATGGCTTCAAAATGCACCCTTTTCCCTATGCTACTCCTATGGCCGCACCATCTCCAGTTCTTTTTCTTAGCTCAGTGTGCCAGCGGTCTCTCGGCCCCATGCACGTCTGATCTGGGAGTCACATCTGCTATCGCCCGCGGCACGAGTTTATGAATCGCAGCACCACTTTGGAAGTACTAAATTTGCACTTTAGTGATTTTAATTCAATTCGTACCATCTTTAGTAATGCTAATGACAAACTATGAAATTCAGATGTCACCCATATTATAAACATTGGCCATTTCAAAATTGACTTGTCTGAAGCTCAGATTCTGGCTGATGGATTTGAAATTTGGCATGCAGCATGGCCTTAATAAGAAGTGGAACTTTGCCAATTTGATTTGTGCTGACGCTCATGGTTTCTGAAATACGATGACGAAGTTTTAGCATCTGTGGGGTACCTTTGTCACGTGAGTAGATGTAGTCTGTTGCCTCGTGTTTACCGCTAGGTGGGTTAGCGATGCCGCGAAGAAAATGTAGATTCGAGGCCATACCTCACCTGAACAAGATTTATCGTGGCATATGAAAAGGACAGAGGGTAACTGCATACTTCAATTTAATAACGGCCTACCAACAAATACAGTAAAATATCCTGCAAAGGAGGTCACCGGACTGTGAAGTAGGAGAGTCTGAAGAGATGGAACGAAGTGTATTGTGCCTCGTCCGAGTTTCTGGTTGGCGTCAGCGAAGAGGAACGGCGGAGACACCACTCAAACTGGAGGAGGAAGTGGCGGAGAGCCTCAAGGTCCAACAAGGACAGGGCACTCTTCTCGGCGGCCAGGGCCAGAATGGAGAAGGACGATCTGCCGAGTGCCAACGAGTACTTCCTCACGAATCCTGCAGGATAGTGTCACCACAAATGCTCGGGAAGTGCCCCCGAGTATCTCATGGGAAGCCTTGAATGCCGAAACCTCCTCTATTTAAAGAGAGGAACTCGGCAGGGCTAGTTCGGAGAAAGTAGTCCGTCTCAAGGTGAAGGGGACCGGTTACATGCCCCATGGAAAGGGCGAAAGGGGTCAAAAAAGCCTCACGAGTACATGGCACCTTTACGCCATTGTCCCCTAAAATATTTGATATCTTAGAAACTATTTGAGCTACATTAATAATCTATAGCTCATCTGAAAGCTCCTGAAGAGCTCTTTCAGTATGCCTTCTTAAAGATCGCCCTCATTTCAGAGCCAACGAAGTCATCATCTGATAAAAGTAAATGGCTTTTGACAGCTGCGTATATTACGGGGGGGGGGGGGGGGGGGGGGGCAGCCGCCCCCCCTGGGGGCCTTGGGACAGGTCTTGGCGCCCCCATGGAGGTAATACAAAGGGCGTACCAAAAGTATCAAGACTATAACAAATACGCAATTCACNCGCCCCCCCCCCCCCCCCCCCCCCCCCCCCCGACCCCTCAGCCAAAATACGCCACTGGCTTTTGACATTTACTTTGCTACAAAACCCCAATTCAAATTTATTTTTAGAAGTTTTCTTTATAAACCATCACTCTTGCTCAAGCAATTCAGAAACTGAATTTAGAAATTCATAGTGGCGTTTTCCGTAGCTCCACAAGCATGGCGTTTTAGAGTACGAATGTCAGAAATTTTTATGAAGCTGCACCTTGGTCAAGTCTTCCGTAAGTGCTGATATTTGGAATGTCTTAAATTACTTTAAATTAAATTACGCGGACATTTCAAGGATATCGATATATCGGGGCGACTTCCTTTCCACAACAGTCATTGGGTCATCTCCTGCCATACAGGATTATCCTTTACTTACTCAAATGTCTACTTCATCCTCTAGGACCCTCCGACTTAAATTTTTGACCAATTGGAGAATAATGGTAAAGAGCGAGGGAAATCCTGAAAGACCCCCGATATAGAAGACGCATCCCCATTGAGTATAATTTAGCTCTTTATACGAGAAGTCGCTCCTTTCAAGGACGATATATACAGGTCTTGTAAAGTGAAGTATGGACTCGGGTGTTCAACCAAGATAGTGGTATCCAGACATACCGATCAGGCATCGTTAATGAGAATATAATGGAACAAATTAAAATTAGGGCCTCAATTATTCACTTTCCTCAGTGGCAGTTTCCCTGATGTACGGTACGAAAATCATTACTTCTCTGTCAATTCAAAAATGTTCGTTGTTTTATCGTCGGGTCATAGCTGGGGAGGTTGGCTCATTTTCGGCCAATGATTGGTTGAGGAAGTTCGGAGCTAATGAGGCTGAGAAGGTTCCGAAAACTGGCGTGAGGTGGAGCCAAAGTGGTCGTAGTAAGGAGTCACTTCCCGGATTCTACTGAAATTAGTCCCCTGTCCCTTTGACACAGTTCCCTATGGTTTCTCACATAGATCTCAGAGGAAGACAATTGAATTCCTTGAAACATTTATCTGAAGATGTAACCTAGCCCTGGAATAAACCAGGAAATTCCGGCCCGGAGGTCCATCTTTCTAATTTCCACGATAGGCTACGCCACTTTTCGTGTAAGACCAACTTCATACTCGTGCTGGACAGCTGCCGGATGCTGCAACAGCATACGACGTTGCTGGACTGCAATTCTGCAATACAGCCTGGAAAATGCTGTATTGCAGCAGGATGCAACATGCTGTCCTTGTAAGCAGTCGGTGTGTTGCAGCATGCGGAACAGTTGAGCGCTGAGAATATTCGCTGCTGGAGCAGCACAATTTAAATGGTCATCTATTTATCCAGCCCTTTCACCCTAAATCAAAGGTAGATAGTTCTCCTCACTACTAATTATGGTGGAGTCGCTCTGCTTGATGTAGGGTGGAGTACGCGCAACAGTCCGTTTTCCACTGCAGTAGAAACTGCTGGTTCATTTCTTTACCGTCAGTGCAGCGCAGCGAAGATAGAAACTGCGGACAAGGAAATTGTGGAGCTTTATCAATTGTGGACTCTGTACAGAGTATAGGGAAGCGGAAAAAAGTTATTCCAAGTGTTTTTATGTGAACAGAGAGCGTGCTGCAAAAGCAGAATTCCATCTTCTAGTGCAGGAAATGCGTCTCCAGGACCCTGAGATTCATTGTAGAACCTTTCGTATGAGTGCCAGACGGTTTGACGACCTCCTTGCAAAAGTTGGGCCATTCATACATCATCAAGATTAGTGGTTTTTCTGCCAGCGGAAAATTGGCGATCAATTTTATTGGGGTTTTGCGGAACTCGGAGGGATTCAGAACATCCCTCGTTGGATGCAGAATTTCGATGAACCCGCTGGTTCGGTGAAGTCTCGAATGCTTCTGTCGTGTCGCTTCTCACTAGGAAGATTGCATATCCCTATAAATTCCAGAAAACCCCATGACATATTTCATGATGCAATACTAAAACCAAAAACATCGATTGAAGTTGGAGAGCTGGTTAAAATACAGCATGTTTTTCTCTTCAGGCACCCATAGCTGTCCAGTTTCGAGTGCCGAAAGATTGGCAGTTACGCTTCGCTTAGGATTTCATGCCAAGCCCTTAAAAAATGATTGGGTACAGATATGGAAGAGCTTCTGGGAACTATGGAGCTTTCCATTATGTGTCGGTGCCATCGATGGCAAACATGTTGCCATGAAGAATCCTGGGAGCAACGAGTGCTTCAACTATAAAGGATTTCATTCCAAAGTTTTACTCGCTGTAGTGGATGCTCAATATAAATTTATAGTTGTGAACATCGGTGGATATGGTTGCCGGAGTGATGGAGGAATTTTCAGTGACTCTTTATTTGGAAAAGCTTTGCTCTCAGAAACCTTAGATTTACCCATCGACAAAGCGCCACCTGGGAGCGATGTCCCTCTGCCTCACGTCTTTATAGGAGACGATGCATTTCCCTTGAAGTGCAATTTGCTGAAGCCCTACCCTGGTAGGAATACTAATGCATTATTAGACCTACTACGAGCAGTGTTCAATTATCGTTTGAGCAGAGCTCGACGCATTGTCGAAAATGCATTTGGAATCCTGTGTTCTCGGCGTATTTTGTTACGACTCATCGAGACAAAGCCTGGTACAGTCAATGACATCATCAAAGCTACATGCATTTTACACAATTATTTAAAAAGTACTGATGCCATGGGTCATAAAGAACCCAAGTATGCAGCACAAAATTACGTGGATCATGAGACAGAAGATATCTATAGGAATATTATTCCTGGACAATGGAGGAATGAAGTGGAGGATGAACCAGGTGCTTTCCTGGATATGACTCAAAGCTCGTCAAATCGAAGCTCCACTGCAGCGGCAAATAATAGAGAAAAATTCAAGGATTACTTTATGACTAGTGCAGGTAGCGTTCCATGGCAAGAAATAATTGTTACTTGGGGTTGTCAACGCGACACTTGGCCAGGGATTAGCTTAAACAATTTTGAACCACTTGTTTTGCTGATTTTCTCGAATGCTGAATGCTGAAGTGTAAATGAGGAATGATGACAATGGCAATGTCAATGCTTTTCTCATATTAGCTAGCGTTGGCAGCAATGAATCTATTTTTGCTGAAGCCATGAAGAATCTGCAGGGATTAGTCATGTACAGCAATTTAAAAAAAGCCAGGTGCAATTAATATTTTATTTTCATCGTAGAACATCGATAGAAATTATTGTATCTGACGAATAACATTATTCCTCATTTTCACTTGAGCATTCAGCAATCGAGAAAATCAGCAAAACAAGTGATTGATAATTGAGTAGGCTGAAAATACAAACTTGCTGCATCCAGCAGACTCAGAAAATGGGAATGATTTCTATTCAATTCAGCATGCAGTACAGCACGTTATATTTGCCGTGCGGCATGCTGCATCCAGTTGCTGTACAGCAATTTACTTGCTGCGTAGCAGGATTGCAGTACGGCATGCGGTTTCGGCAGGGACATGAATTAAGCCGAGTTCATACTCGTGCTGTACAGCTGCTGGATGCTGTGTGCAGTATACGGCTGCAGTACGTAAACGGACAGCAAAGCTGCACGTTGCTTCCAGCAGATGCCGCACTGCATTTTCAAAATGGCACGATCGGCCTAGTTGAAGTGTCTATTATAATCCCATGCCGTGCGGCAAAATCCTATCCAGCACGCGTTCCCGATAGACTGCAATCCTGCTGCGCAGCAAGGAAACTGCTGTACAGCAGCTGGATGCGGCATACCGTCCAGCAAAGAGAATGTGCAGTACTACATGCTGGATCGAATAGAAATCATTCCTATTTTTGAGTCTGCTGGATGCAGCAATTTTGTATTTTCAGCCTACTCAATTTCCAACCACTTGTTTTGCTGCTTTTCTCGATTGCTGAATGCTCAAGTGAAAAAGAGGAATGATGGTATTCATCAGATATATTTATTTTTGTCAGTGTTCCACGGTGTAAATAAAATATTAATTGCTGTTTTTTAAATTTCTTTTCACGACTGATCAATGCGGATGCTTCATGTCTTTAGAAAAATTAGATTAATCGCTGCCTACACTTGCTAACGTGAGGAAAGCATCATGAAGACTATCATTTGCAGCTGTATGTATGGGGTTACGACAAGCGTCATGATCCACGCTCGTTGTCGGGACAAGGCTCTCACTTTAATATACGCTACAAGACTGCACTCGCGTCCCGCGAGATCCGCCTCTGGGGTGACAACATTTCGAAATACGTGAAGAATTCCGTGTTGATGATAAGGCTTTCTGTTCCAATGAATACGGACGCTCTCGCCCTCCATTCAACTATCCCCATGATGAACGTGCGAGCGCACTCCACTCCATGCTTGCCTAGACCACACACCCGCACTTCATGACATTAAAATTACTATTTTTTTATATTTCCAAGTTAAAATATGCACCAACGCATCTACTCATCAAGAGATTGCGATTGATGTATCACGTGTAGCATTTGACGGATGATCCATTTCGGACGTCTTTTCCTCTTGGTTAATTTTTAATTAGTAGTAAGAGAATTTCAATTAGTAACCAGATGTAAAGGGTGTCGTTGAGATCCAAGAGACTGCGTGGTCCGATCAAATTTCTCGTCCGTTGTTTCCATATTCGCTGCGCTTACGGTAGAGAAATACACCAACAGTTTTTGTTGCAGTGGAAAACTTGCGGTCTGTCGGAGGCAACTTGCAGTTTTGCTGTCCATTAACGGACTGCTGCGCGAACTGCACCCAACATCAAGCAGAACGACCCGACCATAAATACTAGTAGCAGCGAGGAGGCTACCCACCTTTGATTTAGGGTGAAAGGCCTGAACGGATGGATGACTATTTAGATTGGCCTGTCCCAAGCATCGAAAATTCTGAGAGCTCAACTGCCATCCAGCATGCTGCACCGCACCAACTGCTTGCAGGACGGCATGCTGCATCCAGCTGTAGTACAGCATTTTCCTTGCTGTATTGCAGTCCAGCAACGGAGCATGCTGGATTGAATCTTTCGTCCAGCATGCAGTTGCAGCATCCAGCAGCTGCACGGCACGAGTATGAACTCGGCCTAAGACGGTGAAGAACTGCAAGGAATTGATGGCGGCCAATGAAGCAGCTTGGCATTACATTCCTGCTGAAAGATGCATCCGTCTGATTGACTCGATGCCAAGAAGATGTGGCGAAGTGATGAAGATGAACGATTATGCCACATCGTACTGATCGCAATAAAGTGCTTCGTCAACTCCATTTAGTTGTATTGGCTTTGAAAAATGCGGTTCCGCGTTTGTATTTAAAAATATGGCCGCGCCATTTTTGTACTGACTGCGCTTATTTGGCAAAATCTCCGCTATTGATGATGCGATCGGCATAGTTAATACCTTCTTGAATTTCTCGATGAATGGCCATCATAATCCGTTACTAATCATCAACGTCCAATGTTATTAAGTGACCGATCACCGGTCGCAAAATGTCGGCAATTGTTTGTATTTAAGCACATGGCCGCCATTGTAGTTCCTATGGATTTGGAGATCGGGGACCGAGGAAATGAGTAAGCTATGTTCGCGCTCCCATGCCAAAAAGAACAGAAACCCAGTCAGCAATGCATGTATGGCCATAGATCGGCCTATCTACGGAAGCTGAGGCGTTTCTGTAACTCCTCAGTGGTTGGACTATATGTGGCTCAGGAAGGTCTTGCACACTTCGCCCTCGCTTGGCGGTCATTAATGTTACACGTACTTGTGCAATCCGACTGAAGAACAATGAAAACTTCTGCAAATGCTTTGAAGCTTTGATGAGAATCGTGCATATTATTTTTATCATGATATGCATACCTCAAAAATGACCGCGAAGATCCAATGTGCCAAAGTTGCACTTCATAGTTTTTGGGAAATGTTGAAGTTCTCCTCCGTGCCATTAGATGGAGGTGCTTGCCTTGCTTTTCGCACAGTACACAAAAGTGCCTTCCCTCTTTCGCTGGAATCGTCCCTCACAGGAGTGTTTAGTACCTCACATATGTCTCGCCTAATCTCATTATGGAAATAATTAAATGCGGCACTTCATTTATTATCCCCATATTCGAGACAGATTCATGGAGTCAAGGCTATGAACAAGCTCATATTCCCCATAAGAATCCTTTACTTAAAACGTTAGTTTTTTTTAAAAGGAGTTTTAGATCAATGGATTCGGGAATACACTTCCCCGGTTCTTCGTCCTTAGATCAGAATGCGGCAACTAGGAATTGAATCCATGTGCACTCCATGGAACAGCAAGAGGTAGATCATTCCTTGAAACGTACTATAAATATTACTATGATTAGGTTGCCGCAAAAAAGTTGACATTTATGGAGTGGCACATGCATGCACCTCGTTTGTATTATACTTGCACATGTAGATACGCGATCGTGGCTCTGCTTGTGGCGGACTTGCCATTCACATGAGCCACACTTGGCCTGCAGATGTATTAGACTGGATGCCACAGAAAACGCGGAAATTTAGGTTACGCCCTATGCATATTACACCCGTGGCGGAAGTGTGCATGTGTAGAACGTGAACGTGGGCCAAGCTTGGAACATCTGACTGCGGAGATAAACACTCCTGCCCCGGAGATAAATTGCTGACCGGGAATAATTAACTGGTTTCTGACGAAGAGAAAATTGTGACCAGGATCGCTTCATTGCAAGAAAGGCAAGAAATAGGAACTTTCCTTTCATAACTTTTGGAAATTTAATTATTTCCCCTATAACATTACTGACAGAAAGGTCGGCCTTCTTGTTTGTGATATCCCTTTCCAAAAAAGTTTGGTCACTTCAAGACTTCCCTGTGCTATTTGAGCGGACGTAGCCCTTTCTTTTCCCTTTGGAAAATCGAAATTAAGCAGTTTTAGTAATCATTTTTTAGAGAACAGTCAGGTAAGTTGAAAGAAGTATCGTCACCGAAGACGTCACCTTAAACCTTAAAATGTTTTATGAAGGCGCGTCCAAGGCGTGCAGGCGCTCTTCCAGCCGTTCTCCCAGGACCGTGGTTGCTATGCAAAGATCTACCAATCAGAAACGACTTGATAGTGAAGTGAGCTTAGGTACAACGTCGCGAGATCTGCTTTGAGTCAGTACTCAGTTGGATGGCGGGTTAATCGCCCAGTGCTTTGCTGAAGCTGAGGCATAATCTAATTGTGCTCTAATATGGGCTTACCTACTACCCCAACGAACGAGATAACATGTACCTTTTTGATGTAAAACGAGAATTAATGCTCTTTCTAAGATCGAAGGATGAACCTTGGGAATTTCAAGATAAGGCATAATAACCCGGGAGGGAAAGCGCGTCTTCCGTATCTCTTCACAGTTACCTCGAACAATGGGGTGTCTCACTGTCTGTAACCTAAGTTCAACGAAAAGCCTGAAGATTACTCATTGAAATCAAATGCAGTAGTGAAAAACAGGTAGGAAAATGCATCAAGCTTGGATGAGTAGGTATTTGCAGATTAACTAAATTGAACCCTAACTGTGCATGGCTGAACCAATTATGCCTCAAATTGGATGCAATTTGTACGTCATCCGCGTTGAGATTATGAAGTTCCTCGTCCCGGTTTCAGACAATTTTACCCTGATCACCCTGTGAATGCTTATGGTAGNACTGCCATCCAGCATGCTGCACCGCACCAACTGCTTGCAGGACGGCATGCTGCATCCAGCTGTAGTACAGCATTTTCCTTGCTGTATTGCAGTCCAGCAACGGAGCATGCTGGATTGAATCTTTCGTCCAGCATGCAGTTGCAGCATCCAGCAGCTGCACGGCACGAGTATGAACTCGGCCTAAGACGGTGAAGAACTGCAAGGAATTGATGGCGGCCAATGAAGCAGCTTGGCATTACATTCCTGCTGAAAGATGCATCCGTCTGATTGACTCGATGCCAAGAAGATGTGGCGAAGTGATGAAGATGAACGATTATGCCACAACTGTGCTCTTTGAGCGGACGTAGCCCTTTCTTTTCCCTTTGGAAAATCGAAATTAAGCAGTTTTAGTAATCATTTTTTAGAGAACAGTCAGGTAAGTTGAAAGAAGTATCGTCACCGAAGACGTCACCTTAAACCTTAAAATGTTTGATGAAGGCGCGTCCAAGGCGTGCAGGCGCTCTTCCAGCCGTTCTCCCAGGACCGTGGTTGCTATGAAAAGATCTACCAATCAGAAACGACTTGATAGTGAAGTGAGCTTAGGTGCAACGTCGCGAGATCTGCTTTGAGTCAGTACTCAGTTGGATGGCGGGTTAATCGCCCAGTGCTTTGCTGAAGCTGAAGCATAATCTAATTGTGCTCTAATATGGGCTTACCTACTACCCCAACGAACAAGATAACATTTACCTTTTTGATGTAAAACGAGAATTAATGCTCTTTCTAAGATCGAAGGATGAACCTTGGGAATTCCAAGATAAGGCATAATAACCCGCGAGGGAAAGCGCGTCTTCCGTATCTCTTCACAGTTACCTCGAACAATGGGGTGTCTCACTGTCTGTAACCTAAGTTCAACGAAAAGCCTGAAGATTACTCATTGAAATCAAATGCAGTAGTTAAAAACAGGTAGGAAAATGCATCAAGCTTGGATGAGTAGGTATTTGCAGATTAACTAAATTGAACCCTAACTGTGCATGGCTGAACCAATTATGCCTCAAATTGGATGCAATTTGTACGTCATCCGCAAAAAACAGGTAGGAAAATGCATCAAGCTTGGATGAGTAGGTATTTGCAGATTAACTAAATTGAACCCTAACTGTGCATGGCTGAACCAATTATGCCTCAAATTGGATGCAATTTGTACGTCATCCGCGTTGAGATTATGAAGTTCCTCGTCCCGGTTTCAGACAATTTTACCCTGATCACCCTGTGTATGCTTATGGTAGGCTTTTAATATTCAGTTTTCTGCGGGTTTAAAACTTTTAATGGGTGACTTACAGTAAACGAATCTTGTTTGATATATGCCTTAATGAATATGTGTCTGTCTTAATGTAGATTGACCCAGTCGCACATGTGTGGGAGAAGAAATTCATCGAAGCTGTATTCCACAGCAAACTCCACAAGCCACACGGGATATATATCTACGCCTTCGCAACACGCAGGTAAAACTCATATCTCATATCTAGTTCTCGTGGACGAACGCCGCAGCCACCGAAAAAAATCCAATTACAACTCATTCTTAATAGCTTTCGAGATGGAATCAGTGAGATGTTGTACGATAACGCGTTGTACTTTGTCCTTGGTTTCGCTCTCGTCACCATCTATGTGTCCATCAACTTGGGGCGATGCAACTTTCTCCAACAGCGAGTGAGTTCGAATTGGAAACTATCCGTTTTTATCCACATATACTGTACATGTGCAGTATACCAGGATCTAATTCTTCCTACAGCTGACTTGCATGATTTTCATGACTTTCAAAGCTGTCTTTGTAGCTGACTTGACATAAGCACCAGCTTAGAATATCATTCTAGGATCTGCTACGTTTGGCCGAGTTCATACTCGTCCTCTACAACATGCTGGATGCTTCAACTTCATGATGTTCAATAGAACATGCCCGTTTTCGAATGGATTTTGCCGCTGCCCTACATGCCGTACAGCACGAGCATGAAATCAGCCTTTATCCGAATCTTTTGCCTGCATATTACAGCAAAAGGTTTCGGAAATGTACTACCTACCTAATTTCCTAAACGGTTTACATTGTAAATGCATCGGCTCCTCGGAGGATTCTAAGCAGTTTTCCGAATGCTTTAGGGTTCTTTTTCAAGTCTCGTCTAACGTCATATTCCTGCTCTTATTGCTATAAGTTGGTGCTTGTCATTTTTATGGGAGCAACAAATCCATGTGTTCTCAAATGATTAACCTACGTAACATTTGTTAGGAGAAAATGTGTTAAATATAAATTATCTATAATAAGGGCACATTTAAGTACAAGCACAAATATAAATTTTCTGAAGTGATTTACAATAATTGATTACATGCGTGATGCACCACAGGTAGAAAAAATATGGTTAAACATGCCATACACATTAAATTCACATAACATGGGAATCCTGTTAGGTGGGGAAACACATTATCATAATTTCTGTTCTTTACCTGAGGAGGTCATTAAATCAATCGAAAAATTATTCCTGCTTAGGTCTACCTGGGCCTGGCTGCAGTCTTCTCCATCATATTGACAGTTCTGAGTGCGATTGGACTGTGTCTATACCTTGGGATTCTTCCGGGAGAGCTCCACAACTTAATGCCTTTCCTCATTCTTGGGATTGGCATCGATGATACACTCGTTATCGTCCAGGTATTTTAATTACACGCTCTGAATACACTCTTTTTTTAGGGTTTTACTTCACTCATACCAATTCCAGTACTAAGTTCTAAAACAGGTTTCTTAATAATACCCCTCTCAGCAATAAATATAAAAAAGGAATTTAAATTGAATTAAGAGTAGTTTCAACCAAAACCACCTCTCATTGCCCTCAGTCAATTCTATCCTGGGGGGTATAGTGGCAGCCTTCTCGTGGCCCTCCCCGTTAAGCAAACCTGACGATTACCTGGTAATTGCTCAAAACGGAAACTAATGCCCCTACATCGGAGACTAAACGCCGCTTCCCGGCCTCTGTCACAATAGCGACCGCACAAAAATCACCCATACGAAAGAAAGAAGATTGCTCCCAGTGTCATGTTGTCAACTTCGTATTCACTTCAGATTACATGTATTTCGTGGTTTCAGCTTGGAACGATCAAATTCTATAACGGGCATAAATAAAACAAGGGGATTTCGGCCTTCTCGATCGAAATTGCCATTAGAAAACGGGGCATTATTGGAAATCTGACGATGACTCCCATTGGATAAGTTTCTCGGAATTTTGATGGTGGGAAATTTTTTAGGAAGTCTCTGATGCCCATTTTACATAAATTATGCTTCATTTTGAAGCAGCTCTACAACGATGAGAGAAATAGATCAAAGAATACGATACGTCTTCAATGTAATACTGATTGTTCCTCATAAACTTCACCTCGATGAAGTTATACATGAAATGAGGCTCGTAGCTAATCATGTTTCACTGTGCACTCCGGAAGAAATAATTGGATATAAAAACGTCGAGCCACGCCTAATCCTTGCTTTTTTTTCCGTCGAGCCATTTCTTTTCGCTATTTCATTTACTTGCCAGTTAAACTTCTTTCCTACTCGATGTTGATTCAGTGCCTGGAGATGGTATTGGTAGGAGGAGAGACCTTAACGGTAGAGGAGCGTGTGGGGGAAGCATTGAAAAGGGCTGGAGTATCCATCACCATCACATCCCTCACGGACATCTTCGCATTCTGCATGGGAGCCACCACGGTCTGTCTTTTTTTTACCAGCTTCTGCCTCTTCTCGAAATCATGTAAGTGATTGCAGCCATCAGAGGAAGGCCTGAGTCCAATATCCTTAGTCAATCATCTTACTGAACACATATCTGCTCAAAAGTTGCCACCACGAGTGAAATGAATAATTGGAACTAGTAGCAGACATTTTTGATCTGATACAGATTTACCTAGGTATTTCGAGGTAAATCGTCATTTAGGCCACTGATTGGGACTCGAAGGCATTAGGGTTCCCTCTTTAGAAGGAAGTAATTTTATTCATAATACTGTAAATCCAATAATTCGCTGAGTTCTGGAAAAACTTCAATTGCTGGTTTTTCTTGCATCTGGAATTTCATTTTAACCCATTGACGCCGAGAACCGTAATATTACGTTTTAAAACCCATAGTGTTCTGCAGTCGCTGGGCGTGAATGGGTTAAACATCAATATGGAACGTTGTTTCTCAACGGTCAACTGGAGAAACTCCAGTTCCTGTCGCACTCAATGTGTAAAATGTGGAAATACTGTCCATAGAGCAAAATGTAAAAAATGTAGAAACTGAAGAGATTAAAGGGGAGCGGTGTTGAATAAAATAATTTTTTTAAATATCATTTGGACATAATCAAGTCTAACTTTGAATAATTCGAACTATGCCACTGTGGGCGTGCACTTGATGCCGGAGAACATTTTCATCCCTGTTCTGTAAATTTCTATTCTTCAGAAGGTTCCAAGTCCCTCATTTCTCTATCTGAACAGAAAATACCGATGCTTCGGAGCTTCTGCATCTACACGGCGGTTGGGATCTTCATCGTCTACGTCATGACCTTGATATTCATCGTCCCGATTTTATCTCTGGACGAAAAAAGACGAGACAGTCGGAGAGAGTCATGCCTGTGTATCCCATTGCCAGACGACTACAAAACGAGCAGTTGCTCCCAAAACCTCCTTCTTAACAGCTTTTTCGACCGGATCGTGGGACCTGTGCTCGTCAAAACCCCTGCGAAGGTTGTTTACATACATAAGTAAGAATGAAGAATATAATGAAATCTCAAAGGCTCGCTGTGACGTTATTGAAAATTGTATTGCAGGTAGTCGTGGTGATACTCACAATGGGTCTCTTGGGTCTCAACTGCTGGGGAATGTCTGGGTTGAAACTGGATTTTGACAGAACCTGGTACTTGGGTCCTGGATATCAAAGAGATTTCCTGTCCGCTCTCCGCAATCTCTTCCCAGAAAGCGGTTACAGGGCCGAATTTTATCTTGGTACGTCTATTATCACTGCAAGACTAGGAGCCTTAAAGTGAGTTTTGCATTGAAGAAGATTTTGTTTTAGGGAATGTGGATTACTTCAAGGAGAGAGTTGCTTTGGAGGAGTTGTACACGAGGATGTCTGCTCTTCCGGGATTGAAGGACAGATCCGTGAAATTCTGGTACCACTCCTTCCTGGAGTATCTCCAGAAAGAAAACGGCATGTCATTCTGAATATAACTTGGTCCTCGTTGTTTGTAACATTTGGTGTGTTTGATAAATGGGTTTTAGCAGATGCAGCACTAGAAATGGGCACATTGACTCAGACGCTGCCAAATACGAAAGGTGGAAAATTAATTCCCCCGTGAACCATGAAGGATAGGAACGTATTGGTGCTTAAATTACTACATCATTTGGACCAAAGTAGAGGACGGGTTGAGTTCATTATTCAAAATTTGAAACTCAGTAAATTAACTTGTTCACTCTACTGGTCAGTATGTAGTGTTGCAAGAAGACCCATAGACAATTGAAGGTCTGGAAGTAAAAGTAGTATATCTGAAAAAAAACCTTTTCCTCGAGCTCCACACAGAAAAACTGAATATTTAGGCGACCGTCCCTTTAAAGAGAGGAAAACTGGCATGCATATACAGATCAGTTCATCTTTAACATAACTACAAAATATATAATTTTTATGAAAGGAACAAGGCTTTATCAGCACTGAACCTACTATAATTTTTCGGAAACATATATTGCAGATAGACCGGTTTACCGTTTAGCTCTTCAATTACTTCATTATGCACAGACGTGCCGGACTATACCGTAGCTGTTGAAATTATGACATTTGGAGGATTAGGAAGTCAAGAGGTTTTTTTTGGAAAGGTCCATTCTGCAAGTTTATTAAGCCTATCAGATCATGGGAGTTTCGTTTTTCAGAGGATTATCCAAAATCAGAGATTATATTCAAAGACAAGCTTTCCACTTTCCTGGTCTTCACTAAGAAGGGACGGAGATATCTACGCGATATTAAGTACACTGGAAACCTCTTACTTGACTTCAACATCACCGTGAGTGCAGGCTGTGTGTAATCTGAAATTCCCAAGTTATTCTGTCACATAATTCCATGTGTTTACCGAAGGCTTCACGGGGAAGTTACCAACACGTTCAGTTCGATACCGGAATCGAGAAACGACGTGGGCTCGACGATGTGGAAGAGGTTCTGGATTCAGTGAAATTCAAGTCAAGTGATCCCTTAAAAAGATGCTTCTCTCTCGAGTATCTCAACATCCGAAATAATCAGGTAACTTCTCTTCGTGGGTGCTTCTGCACTCCGATACTTCCAGCTAGAGGCACCTACTGAGCTCGAAGAAAGGGGAGGGGTGGGGGTGGGGGAATCAATCGGCGCGGTAGCGCCTATTACCTTTCTTCAACACCTTCCAGCGGCAAAATTCAACCGTCTCATGTTCCTTTAATTTCGTTCTGGTATTTAAAAAATTTTTTTTCTTCCCCCCCCCCCCCCCCCGGGTAGCCGCTCCTGGGAAGGTTTTGAAGGAAAAATACCAACCAAACGAAAGATATTGACTTGTAGGTGACAAAAAGTGTCTTTTTGTTGCTTGCAGGGCACCATTTCCCCATGAAAAATTTAATTAGATGTTGTTAATTCGGACCTTTCATTGATGAAACCGTCCCGTTCCGCAGCGTTGCCGGATATCATGTCAGCGCAATGTCAGATTCATGATTTATTCAGCCTTAGTATCATTGTCTGAATCTTTTCTTTTTAATGTAGGAGACATTATTGTGCTGAATTCATGGGATGAGCTGAGATTGAAACGGTGGTTTGCAGTGGCCGATCGATTTGGTGGAATACGGAGATATGTCATCCGGACATCCCTAAATTCTCATGACGGCGGCCATCTTGTATGTCATGCTTTCTAAAAGCACTTTCTTATCAGAACGTATCGAGACGATTCGAGGAACTCTGGATGGGCCTAATGTTCTCCGACCGCACTGAAATGGTTCATGAAACTCAAAGAAGACCTACACACGGTCTAACGCTACATATTCTCTGTTAAATGGACCATGAGAGACTAAATAGGCCTGCGATTGGCCTAACGTTACACGTCCTCAACGAGGCGTCTCGAAGACCAGTGTTTATTCTTATTGGTCTAAATGGTCTATAAGCCGAAGATTGAGTTTCTTTTGAACGGAAAAAGGTAGGCCTAGGCCTAACGCGAAGAGAGTTCGTCGGTGAGGCCTAGGCCTAACGTTAGTGAGTCCCGTAGAGAATGTGGTGGGGGGAAGTTGAAGAAAGATAAAACCGGTGAAAATTGGTTTTCGCATTCCTACATGCAACTATTGTGCAGGGTCTTCATTAGGTATGAGGGTGTTGATCATAGTGCGCATGCTCATGAATGGCATGGTTCAGACCGATCCTTTTCGTTGTCGCGGAATAACATCGACACGGAACTGCTTCGACTACTGCGAACGACTGAATGACTTCGACAGGAACAACGTCGACACAGAAGTATCTCGACACTAGAAAATCCTGTCGAGGTAATTCCGTGTCGGCGGTGTTACTTTCGATGTTGTTCCGTGTCGGTATGAATCCGAAAGTCATCTGTCGAAGCAGATTGTTTCGGTCTATTTCTGTTGACGTATTTCCGATTTGATGCCATTCTGTGCCATAGCATTTCTTATTGAGCTGCTTTCGTGTCGATTATATTCCTATCAGGAATGGCAGTGGTTCAAGTGGCGCTGAAAAGATGTCGCACGAAGCCACTTTCAATTAAGACTTTAGGTAACTAAGGCCTACTTTATGTATAACTAAGGTATAGTTAAGGATTAAGGAAGGGAGCGAATCCTGATCCTCTCCACTTCCACACCTGACCGGCAATCAGGAGGTCCGTGTTCAAGTTCCGGCCGTTCCCTGGCTTTCTTTCGGCCTCTCATGCCTTCCGTTGTCCCGTCACTTCTACACCCTCCCGTAACAGTATTTCATCATTTAGTGTTCAAATTCCGTTTCCACCATATCATAACATTTTTCTTCGTTTCATTTTCTTTGTTCGCGTGTTCGCGCCGTTTCGCGTTTTTGTTGAGTATATCTCTCCTGATGATTTGATACCTTCTTGCATTCGGAGACAGACAGGAGAAGGACAGGTCATGTGAACTCC